AAATGGACAAATGATTATACTGATTTTTATTTTATTTTGTTTTATTTTAATTTTAATTTTTTGAAATGGAGTCTCGCATCTTGTTAACCCAGGATGTGAGTGAGTGGTTGCGATCACTGGCCTCACTGTGCAACCTCTGCCTCCTGGGTTCAAGCGATTCTCCTGCACTCAGCCTGCCCCGAATAGCTCGGACTACCCGCACACATCACATGCCCAGCTAATTGTATTTTTAGTAGAGAAGGGGTTCACCATATTGGCCAGGCTGCTCTCGAACTCCTGACCTTGTGATCTGCCTGCCTTCGGCCTCCCAAAGTGCTGCGATTACAGGCGTGAGCCACCATACCCAGCTGATTATGATTTATTACACATTTTATTTACACATACTTTTGTTCATGATACATTCCACTGAAAAATAAGAGTAATTGATAAAATATTTCAAAAACACAGACCACATAGTAACAGAGTCGTCTGAATTATATATACATGGTTACCAATTCAAACTCTTGTGGGCTAAAGAAAAGAGGATTATTACCTTGGTTCGATTTTTTCTGTTGTAGAATTTCTCATCAAGTTGTTCTGAACATGCCGGAACTGCAACATACCACAGGAATGAGAATATTCTTCCCCACTCCCATATCTATTGGCCTCTTGCTGGTCACTCCAAACTTTTGGCACACAAGAACGTTTAGGTTTAGTTTGCTTACTGGGTTTACCTTCCCTTCAAGCCAGCAGTGGACTTTCAAGATGACAGGCCAAAGATTTGTTTTTGGGTTGGATGCTAATACTACTCACTTCTATTACTGTGCTTAGAAGTCATGCTAATAGTGTTCCAATAGACTACTGTTTATAGTGTCCTAGTCTGGAGTTCTAGAAATACAATTGTATGAGGCCACTCCTATTTCTATGTTGTACTTTTACTTTCTCTGCTCAAAAGAAGGAAAAAATAAAGTTCTGAAAAAGCAAACGTTATCTTTAACATCTGAGGAATGAAGGGGAAATTGGAGACAATTACTTGGACACTTAATAGGACCTCAATAAATAGAATTGTCATTATATCACCAGAGGGCACTGTTGCACATTTTAGGATAGAGAACTGGTCTACTACTTCTGCTGTGTTCTTTTCAGGAAGCCCTTTTTATTTCTGTTTTGGTCTTGAACTGAGGCCATCCTCATCTCGACAACACCTCAAGTCCAAGGTAAGCTGGCAATGGGCAAGATGCAGGCCAGTTTGTGCTGAGCATTAATTTTTCTTCTGTCTGCACCTTTCTTCACTGTTCCCCCCCCCAAGTTATTCTACTCAGTGTTCCTGGCTAAAGCTGCTACCAAACCCCACCTGGAGCTTCCCCTGCTCACCTGCTGGTGGTAGTCCCTTTGCTTGATGAACTTGTCTACCACCTTCTCCACCTGTCTGTCACATTCCACCTGCAGATATTTGATCAGCGTATACAGTCTCCCTGGCCCATAATAGGTCTCCACTATTGGTTGGTGTGTCTCCACAATGCGGGCAATCCCTAGAAGGGAGGAAGCAAGAAGGCTGTAGTATTCTTCCTACAAAATAAACTTGCTCCATCTGGGACTAACCAAGGGTCTAGGTCAATCCTTTTGGCTGCTTCACTTTCTAAAATGAACACAACATAGGCCTTGTCAATGCTAGGGGTTTCTAAGCAAATATGTTAAATATGCACAGTGCTTGGTACATCAGCAGGCATTTGGTAAGTTACATTGATACTATTTTCTAGAGCAGCATCTTTGGAATCAGCATCACTCGCTTTTCAGTAATTTATTTTAGGGTTAAATTTATTCTTACGGAGTTTGGGGTTTGAGGGTTAGGCAGGATCAAAACACTGGAGAGACTCTAATCTTTGCTTATCAGGCACTGAATCTGGAAGTTATTTAATTCTCCACTCAATTAATACACAGTAAACTACATGATTAAATTAAAGTCATCAAACTAGAAGGGTGAGAAGAAAGGCTAGGATGCAGGTGTCATACAGAAATGTCTCCAGTCTCTCTAGAGTGGAGAAAGAGGCTCACCTTCAAACAGAAGAGTAAGTGTATCTGCAAAGATGACTGCAGCTCTCCGATCACTCATGTCTGTCCCCAGCACCATGAGCAGATTCTCCTCAGCTTTACTGGCCACCTAAAAAAGGAGAAGACCCACATACATTCCTTAGAAAGGCCAGCCTTACACCAGGTATGTCTCAATTTTCCAAAAAGGCCTCCCATCGGCTTTCTTTTTTTTCATATTTCCCTTGATGTTTAGAAGCCCAGGCAGCACAGAGGAAACTCCCTTGAGGGACAGTCTGAGCCTCAGGCAGGACAAGGAATGTGAGCATGGTGTAGCTCCTCTTCCATTATTTTCTTCTCTTGGAAAATACGGACTGTCATTAGCCAAGGGAGAGAGTCCTCAGTTCCAACAATCTCAAAGTGTAACTTTCTATCATTTTTTAAAATAAGAGACAGGGTCTCGCTCTGTTGCCTAGGCTGGAGTACAAGGGAGCCACAGTCGTAGTTCACTGTGGCCTTGAACTCCTGGACTCAAGTGATCCTCTCACCTCAGCCTCCTGAGTAGCTGGAACTATAGGCAAGAGCCACCATACCCAGCTAATTTTTAAAAAATTTCTGTAGAGATGGGGTCCTGCTATGTTGCCCAGACTGGTCTCGAACTCCTGGCCTCAAACAGTCCTCTTGCCTCAGCATCCCAAAGTGCTGGAATTACGTGAGCCATTATGCCTGGCATGCTATCATTAATAGTGCTTTCTCAAGCAGGACAAAACCTGGGTGCTGCAGAAGGGACTTTTACTGGATTAAAGGTAGAAGCCATTTCTAGGTCCCAGGTGGCAAAGTATACTGATAAAAAAAGTACCATAGAGCAGGTTTTTTTGTTTTTTGTTTTTTTTTTGAGATGTAATTTCGCTGGTCACCCAGGCTGGAGTGCAATGGCACAATCTCAGCTCACTGCAGCCTCTGCCTCCCGGATTCAAGCGATTCTCCTGTCTCAGCTTCCCGAGTAGCTGGGATTACAGGCACCTGCCACCACGTCTGGATAATTTTTGTATTTTTTTTAGTAGACACGGGGTTTCATCATGTTGGCCAGGCTGGTCCTGAACTCCTGATCTCAGGCAATCCACCCGCCTCAGCCTCCCAAAGTGCTGGGATTATAGGCATGAGTCACTGCGCCTGGCGTGTATTTTGTTTTTCATTAATTTTTTAGAATGAGTAAAATGCATACTTAAACATTCCAAAGGAACAAAGGAATATTCAGTGAAAAGTAGTTCTTCTTCTAACCTGTGTCTCTTAATTTCCCAATTTTCTTCAGAAGTGACCATTGTTAACCCTTCCAAAAGAAATCCTATGCTTATACAAATATATCTTGATTGCTGACTCCCTCATTTTAAACAGGAATGACAACATATTGTTTTGTACCCTGTTTAACAAACCACGTTAGAGAATAAAATATGTCAGCGCTTAGCGAACGGCACCATTTTTCTTAACGGCATAATAATGGTCTGACAGAGAATTTTTTTGTGGTAGGGGAATGACACACATAGACATATAGCTAAAAAAACAGCTGGGTGGGGTGGTAGTCCCAGGACTTTGGGAGGCTGAGATGGGAAGACTGCTTGAGGCCACGAGTTTGAGATCAGCCTGGGTAACACAGTGAGACCGTTTCTACAAAAAAAAAAAAAAAAAAAAAAAATTAGCAACGCATGGTGGCATGTGCCTGTAGTCTCCACTGCTTGGGAGGCTGAGGCAGGATTGCTTGAGTTTTAAAAGAGTGATTCAGGCCGGGTGCGGTGGCTCACACCTATAATCCCAGCACTTTGGAAGGCTGAGGCGGGTGGATCACCTGAGGTTGGGAGTTTGAGACCAGCATGACCAACATGGAGTAACCCGGTCTGTACTAAAAATACAAAATAAGCTGGGCATGGTGGTGTATGTCTATAATCCCAACTACTTGGAAGACTGAGGCAGGAGAATTGCTTGAACCAGGAGGCGGAGGTTGCAGTGAGCTGAGATCATGCCATTGCACTCCAGCCTGAGCAACAAGAGTGAAACTCCAACTCAAAAAAAAAAAAAAAAAGAATGATTCAACTTGTCAGAGAACTTGCATTTTAATTTCATATGCTTTCATCTGGTCTGTTGGAAATGAATGTGCATTGGCAGATGTCTTGGCCATGTCTGGTACACAGTAGGCTGGCAACAGGTGTGTTGAATGAACACACGCATCCAGTCCTGCTCGGCTACACAGCAAGGGCAGCAAGGGGAGTCATATCCAGAAGAGAGAAAGTATCCATGGAAAGTGGATCCATCTAGTGCCCCAATCTGCAGGCAGAGAGCCGCACAATTATCCTGCCAAGCAATCAGGGTCCATACCTGCTTGCAAAGGTATTCTGAGAACTTTCTTAATCCCTCCTCATGCAGACCCAGCAGTGGGAAGATCTTGAAGAAGCGCTCCACCTGGGGCAGATCACCTTCCTTGGTGGCAATGGCAAACTTCTCTGCCACAATGGCTTTGAGACGTTGCTCAGCTTCCTGCAGCAATTTCAGGTTGGCATCAATCATGCTCCCTGCTCAACAGGGAGAAAATGAATATTCAAGTAAAGAATGGTACTGTGTCAGGTCCATGCCACTTTGTGTAATACTATTCATCCAGCAAATACGTATTAAGTACTTACTATGTGCAAGGTGCTGTGCTAGTAATATATGTGACTACATGATGAATCAGCCCTGATCCTACCATCACAGAAGTTAGGATCAAGTAGAAGAGATCAAGTTTGTGCACAAATAATAATGATGAAATACAGTACATGATGTGTCATAAGAAAGGTGCCAAAGGATGGGCACTGTGGCTCATGCCTGTAATCCCAGCACTTTGGGAGGCCGAGATGGGTGAATCACAAGGTCAAGAGATTGAGACCATCCTGGCCAACATGGTGAAACCCCATCTCTACTAAAAATACAAAAATTAGCCGGGCGTGGTGGCGTGCGCCTGTAGTCCCAGTTACTCAGGAGGCTGAGGCAGAAGAATCCCTTTAACCTGGGAGGCAGAGGTTACAGTGAGCCAAGATCATGCCAGTCTGGCAACAGAGCGAGATTCCGTCTCAAAAAAAAGAAAGGTGTCAAAAAGTCACATTTCTGGTTAAAGTAATGAGAAAAGGCTTCCTAGAGAAGGTGACATCCCACCTCTCGAAGATGGGCAAGATTCTGACACCTGCACAGAGGAACAAACATTCCACGCAAAGGGAATGAAATATACGAAGTGATAGAAGCAGAAAGATGAAAAGAATATTTGCAGAGTATTCCAAGTAGCATATTCTGTGGCATATGGAGGAGCTTGAGAAATACTTGCACAATGAATGGATGCATAAGTGAATACCATTAAACAAGGCTAGAAAGACAGGGTGTGTAAAGATCATGGAAGATCTAAAACATCAGACTAAGAATTTCATTTTATGAGTAGGCAATATGGTCAAGTGCAAAGAACCCGCTGGTCAGAGAATCAGTAGATCTGGATTCAGCTTCCTTTTCCATAAAATGGGAATACAGTAGTTCCTTCTTATCTGTAGGGGATCCATTCCAAGACCATTATGGATGCCTGAAACCATCGACAGTACTGAACCTTGAATATACTATGTTTTTTCCTATACATGCATATTTACGATAAAGTTTAATTTGTAAATTAGACATATTAAGAGATTAACAATATATAATAAAATATAACAATATACCATAAAAAAAGTTATGCAAGTATAGCCTCTTTTTAAAAAATATCTTATTGTACCGTACTCACCCTTCTTGTGATGAAGGGACAGACAGGATGGCACAAGATTTTATCACACTACTCACAACAGCAAGCAACTTAAAACTAGTAAGTTGTTTATTTCTGGAATTTTTCCTTAATATTTTTGGACTAAGGTTGACCATGAGTAACTGAAGCTGGAGGTAACTGAAATGGCAGAAAGTGAAACCACACATAGGGGGGACTACTTTAACAAAGCCTGCCCCAGGATGGTACAGGACCTACGCATGGCCTACTACCAGATAAGAAAACTTCCTGGCTGGGCACGGTAGCTTAAGCCTATAATCCCAGCACTTTGGGAGGCCAAGGCGGGCAGATCACCAGAGATCAGGAGTTCGAGACCAGTCTGTCCAACATGGTGAAAGGTGTGGTGGTGTGTGCCTATAATCCCAGCTACTCAAGAGGCTGAGGCAGGAGAATCGCTTGAACCCAGAAGGCAGAGGTTGCAGTGAGCCGAGATCGTGCCACCACACTCTGTCCTGACAAGAGTGAGACTCCGTCTCAAGAAAAAGAAAAAGAAAAAAGAAAACTTCCTAAAAACTGATGTGTTTTTATTGGTCGAGTCTGCTTACTTCAGATCACAGATGATTTTAACTAAAAACCAACAGTTTGGGATGCTGACCCTCTTTGCCCTGTCGGCTGAGCTCAATGACTGACTTGTCCAGGCACAAGTAGCGATGAATGTGGGCTGCAGCCTGCTCATAATCTTCATTCCTCAAAGCAGTCTGAACTCCATCCATGCAGAACTTCAGGTCCAAGATGTCATCAGCTCTCTGAATGGCCTGATAGAGGCGGTTCTGCAAAAAGATTTGGTACTTAGAAACAATGTCCTATTCTTTCAAAAACACCCCTCAAGAAGGTAGGGAGATTCAGGAGCTGAAACTGGTCAACCATATGTCCTTTTAAGCTGTCAATAGCAATCTCACAAACACCACCACTACTGTTAATGCAACTGTTATTGATGACGATCAAGACCATTGACAGGTATCATACAATTTTAATAACGTGATCAAATCATTCTTTTTTTCTAGACACAGTCTCACTCTGTGACCCAGGCTGGAGTGCAGTGGCACAATCATGGCTCACTGCAACCTCTGCCTCCTGGGCCTAAGCTATCCTCCTACCTCAGCCTCCCAAGTAGCTGGGATTACAGGCGTGTGCCACCATGCCTGGCTAGTTTTTGTATTTTTTGTAGACGCAGGGTTTCACCATGTTTCCCAGGCTGGTCTCAAACTCCTGAGCTCAAGCTATCTGCCGTCCTTGGCCTCCCAAAGTGCTGAGATTACAGGAGTAAGCCACCATGCCTGGCCTACTTCATTTTCTTACCTAATTGCCCTGGATAGAACCATACAGCCACCAACTCATATATTAAAAAAAAATTTTTTTAAACATGCTTGCTTGTTCTAGAGACATAGTAAGAGAAGACACCCTTGTCTTGTTCCTCATCTTAGGAGGAAAGAATAACATCTTTCACCAGTAAGTATGACGTTAGCTGAGGGTTGTTTTTTTAAAAAAATTTTTGTAGAGATAGGGTTTCACTATGTTCCAAAGTTTGGTCTCAAACTTCTGGCCTCAAGAGATCCTACTGCTTTGGTCTGCCAAAGCGTTAGGATTACAGGCATGAGCCACCATACCTGGCCAGCTGTGGTTTTTCAGATGCCCTTAATCAGGCTGAGAAGTTCCCCGCTATTCCAAATTTGTTGAGTGTTTCTACCATGAAAGGGCACAGAATTTTGTCAAATGTTTTCTTCTGAGTCTATAAGGTGATCATGTGTTTTTTGTCCTTTTTTCTATTAATATGGTATATTATTAGGTTGGTGCAAAAGTAATTGTGGTTTTGGCCATTACATTTAATTGATTTTCAGATGTTAAATCAACCTTGTCTTCCCAGGATAAATTCCACTTGGCCATAGTATATAATCCTCTTTATATATTGCTAGACTTGCTTTGCTAGGTTTTGTTAAGTATCTCTTTTTTTTTTTTGAGACAGAGTCTTGCTCTGTTGCCCAGGCTGGAGTACAGTGGCATGATCTCAGCTCACTGCAAGCTCCGCCTCCCAGATTCATGCTATTCTCCTGCCTCAGCCTCCTGAGTAGCTAGGACTACAGGCACCTGCCACCACACCCGGCTAATTTTTTGTATTTTTAAGAGACAGGGTTTCACTGTGTTAGCCAGGATGGGCTCGATCTCTTGACCTCGTGATCCACGTATCTCAGCCTCTCAAAGTGCTGGGATTACAAGTGTGAGCCTCCGCACCCGGCTTGTTGAGTGCCTTTCTGTCTATATTATAAGAGCTACTGGTCTGAAATTTTCTGTGATATTTTTGTCTGGCTTTGTTATCTCACATTAGATTTCTATTGGAAGGTGCTCTTCTAATCTCTAATGTGGTAGCTTTTTTTTTTTTTAAATAGAAGCTGGCATTTATTAACTCATTTATTTATTTTTAATTTGCAACTCCACTCTGCAACTCAGGCTGGAGTACAGTGGCATGACCTTGGCTCACGGCAATCTCTGCCTCTTGGGGTTAAGCGATCCTCCTGCCTTGGCCTCCCAAGTAGCTAGGACTATAGGTGTGCGTCACCACACCTGGCTAATTTTTGTATTTTTTAGTAGAGACAGGGCTTCGCCATGTTGCCTAGGCTGGTTTCAAACTCCTGGACTCAAGAGATCAGCCTGCCTCAATCTCCTAAAGTGCTGGGATATAAGTGTGCACCACCATGCCCAGCTAATTTTTGTATTTTTTGTAGAGACAAGGTTCTCCCATGTTGCCCAGGCTGGTTTTGAACTCCTGGGCTCAAGCAATCCTCCTGTTTTGGCCTCCTAAAGTGATGGGATTATAGATGTGAGTCACCACGCACAGCCCCATTGACATTTTGATGTTTGAGTTAGTAGAGGGCAGTAAAGAAGCTACTGGCCAGGCAAGGTGGCTCACACCTGCAATCCCAGCATGTTGGGAGGCCGAGGAGGGCAGATCACCTGAGGTCAGGAGTTTGAGGCCAGCCTGGCCAACACGGCGAAAGGCGGAAGGATAACTTGAGCCCAGGGGTTCAGGATCAGCCCGGGTAACATGGCAAAACACCATCTCTACAAAAAATACAAAAACTAGCTGGGCATGGTGGTGGATGCCTGTAGTCCTAGCTCCTCAGGAGGCTGAGGTGGGAGAAGAGCTTGAGCCCAGGAAGTTGGGGCTGTAGTGAGCTGTGATTGCACCACTGCACTCCAGCCTGGGCGACACAGCAAGACCCTGTCTCAAAAAAGAAAAGCTCGATATATTACCTTTGCCAGGTCAAGCTGACGAACTTTGCTGGACACATTCTCAGCCAGGTTGCAGGTAAAGGTGATCATTCCAGCCAGCTGCTTTGCGTCTCCCTCAATCAGCTGCAGGTTAGGACTAGAGAAACACATAGTCAGCATACACATAACCATAGGGCAGAGGGTAAGAGAGAGAAACTTTTCTTTGCATATGGACTCTGTGTCTTCTACTTCTTTCATACCTACCTATAACTCTTAGCTCAGTTTGCTCTGCACTCAGCTTTTTCTCAAGAATGTTTGACTGTAAACTCAGACCTATACTTGATAAAAAATTAACTTTTTTTTTTTTTTTGAGATGGAGTCTTGCTCTGTCGCCAGGCTGGAGTGCAGTGGCGCGATCTCGGCTCACTGCAACCTCTGCTGTCTGGGTTCAAGTGATTCTCCTGTCTCAGCCTCCTGAGTAGCTGGGACTACAGGCACGTGCCACCAACCCCAGCTAATTTTTGTATTTTTAGTAGAGACATGGTTTCACTAGGTTGGCCAGGAGATGGTCTTGATCTCTTGACCTTGTGATCCACCTGCCTCAGCCTCCCAAAGTGCTGGGATTATAGGTGTGAGCCACCGTGTCTGGCCAAAATTAACTTCTAAAACCAATAAAGACACCCGTAAATAGGTACAACCAAAGAATTAGAGAACAAATTCTCTCAATTGCTAAGTGAGCAAAAGATGCACTAACCAGTACTCTGAGAGAGGATGGTGAGATCAAAGAACAACTTGTTTTTTTTTTGAGACAGGTTCTCACTCTGCCACCCAGGCTAGAGTGCAGTGGCACAATCATAGCTCACTGCAGTTTCCAACTTCTGGGCTCGAATGATCTTCCTGTCTCAGTTTCCTGAGTAGCCGAGACTATAGGCGCACACCACCATGCCCAACTAATTTATTTATTTATTTATTTTTATTTTCTGTTTTTGAGACAGGGTCAAAAGTGATCCTCCAGATGTGGCCTCCCAAAGTGCTGGGATTACAAGCATGAACCACTACTCCCGGCCAAGGAACAATTTTTATGACTAACAAATATACCCAGTCTATAAAAATGCTGGTTCTCAGCTTGGCGCAGTGGCTTATGCCTGTAATCCTAGTACTTGGGAGGCCAGGCAGGTGGATCACTTGAGGTCAGGAGTTTGAGACCAGCCCGGCCAACATGGTGAAACCCTGTCCCTACTAAAAATACAAAAATTAGCTGGGCATGGTAGCACATGCCTGGAATCTCAGCTACTCAAGAGGCTGAGGCAGGAGAATTGCTTGAACCTGGGAGGCAGAGGTTGCAGTGAGCCCAGATTGTACCACTGCACTCCAGCGGGGACAAGAATGAAGCTCCATCTCAAAAAAAAAAGGTGGTTGTAACACTTGGGCTATGCATTAGAATCACTTGGTAGGCTTGTTAAAATACATCTTCCTGGACCCCAGACCTAGAGTTTCTGATTTTGTAAGTTTGGCGTAGGGCCCTAGGATTTGCATTTCTAACAAGGTGTGATGCTTGTACTGCTGGTCCAAGGAGTCTTTGAAAACCATGGAACTAATACCCTTAGTTGTTCACTTTACCTTGAGATAATACCCTTTATATTTCAAGCTCAACTGGTGTTTATAACAGAAAGTTTAAAAAATGGTCACTTGTCCAATTGACCCTGTTGGAATTTACATTAGCTCTTTCTGAGATGCACAGACTCACCCCATTCGGTGGAGAGTGACCATCTTACTTTCAATGCTGTTTTGCTGTTCCAAAAGAGCATCCAGCTCTCTCTCCACCACTTTCTGAAACACACAGAAACATCCTGTCAGCAGAATCATCAGAAGGAACCTTAAGAGTTATCTAATCCAATTACTTAGCTGAAGGGTGAATCGCATTTCCAAATCCTTTTTTCCTTCCACTATGCTCTCCTTAGACTTTAATAATGCTTCATTTTGCACTTATGTTGCATGATTGATATCTTACATGTATCTTGTTCCATCTGGCAGATGAGCACCATAATGGGCAGAAATAAACTTTTAGTCAGTATTATTAGCATAGTGCCTAATATAGGAAGGCATTTAAAATACAATGCCTGGCCAGCACTGGATCCCAAAGTAATCCCAGCACTTTGGGAGGCCCAGGTGGGCAGATCACCTGAGGTCAGGAGTTCATGACCAGCCTGGCCAACATG